TTTATCACAGACAGACAGAGAGATGGATGGATGGTGCTACAGTCTACACAAACGCCCTTCCATCAAAGCGACAGTAAAGCAGCACCTTGACATCTGCTAGCACTGATCCCTGATCATCAGAGCAATTTACTGAGTGTTTGTCTCAGCACACACACACACACACACACACACACAAACACACACTCACGCACGCACGCGCGCACACACACACACACACACTCTCACACACACAACACACTCTCACTTTCACACACAAAATCTCTCTCGCTCTCTCTCTCTCTCTCTCTCTCTCACACACACACACACACACACACACACTCCTGACATCTGTATGATTGTGTTAATCAGCAGCTGACTCTTCTGATTGCACTGACATGTTGCCATAGCATCAGCTGCTCTGAAGGCAGATTAAGCCCACCCTTAACCTTTAAGCTTAACCCTTAACTTGAGGCCAAGACGCCCAGTTTAGAACCGCTCAAACATGCTGCTTCCTTAAGATGAGCCACATTTATACCGTCACTATGACGACCTTGCTGTCACTGTGCAGTCTTTATTCTGATGTCACTGGCCAGAAGGCTTTGATTGATGCGTTTCTCCTCCTATCACAGGCCAAACCCCGGCTGCAGAGAGGAGGAAGCTCCGCTTCTTTACACAACAGCCTAATGAGGAACAGCATCTTTCATCTGATGATCCACACACTCGACCCTCTCAGTGAAGGTAACACACACACACACACACACACACTCCATCCACATTGAGTAAGAACAGAATAATGCTTTGAAATGCAGAATTATTTGACAGAGTTATTTTAAACTGTGCATTAAAGAAATGCCTGGGATATATTTCAACTACTAACTAAATACATACATACAGTACATTGGAATACGCTTTGACATCACACAGACATCACTTTCAAACCAAAAGCTTTCTGCTGGTCAGCGCGGTGAATACACTTAACTAACTCAAACACGAGCGAAATCTGCATGGGGAATTATTTAGCCTTTGCGTAAAACTCCCAGTCACACGGACTCCTGTTGAAATGACTGGAGTTCACCTGCAGAAAAGTGCTTAGTAACAGTAAATGTGACCACATTTGAAGAGTAGATGTGTTGCTGTAGAGTAAGTCATGGCTTGTGTTAGTTTGGCATAATTAAGATACTGTTACAGTTTTTATGAATATTTTGATTTATTTTTTATTTTTCTATTTTCATTTTAATTTGAGTTAAAATTGTAATAATCTTTTATCATTTTTATTAGTTTTTTTTAATGGCTATAATATTTTTTTTATTAATTGTAATTATTTTTTATTTATTTTTAGTTATTTATATAATTTATCAAGTAAATGAAAATGAGAACTAGCTAAAGTAAAATATTGATTTTATTTTATTTCAATTAAAGTTTATTTTAATTTAAGTAACACAAGTTTTTTGTGTTAGTTAACTTGAATAACCCGTCATGCTCTCATGCATTCATAAAGTCGCAGCAGTATTAAGCCAGTCGTTTTTGCAGCTTGCTTTTAAAAAATGCTCTTTTACATTTTCAAATTTGGTGTGACCAGCTAAAGGGATCGTTTAACCAAAGATGACAATTCTATTATCATTTATGCATGCATTTCTACTGTGGAAAACAACAACAACAACAAAATAATTTTATTTTTGTTTTTATTTGTTTATTTATTTATTTTTTATGTTTTATTAAATCCGTGTGTTCATCTCAAATTTAAAAGACACTTTTGTTTGCATAGGGTTTTAAAAAGCTTTGACCAAATGACCAAATTCAAATTTTGATTTGACCTGCACATCTGATGGCTATTTGTACAGTAGCACATCTCATCTTTTTATTCACTACATGGCTTTGCAATAGAGCTAAATTGTGTTTTTTTCTGTTTTTTCATCTCTTTCTGACTCTTTTTCATCCCTGTCTGTCTCTCTGTTTCTCTCTGTCTGCTGTTTCCTCAGAATTCGCTGACTCTGGTGAGTTATTCTCTAAATCTCGCTGTCATCGTCCCAGCTGAAGCTGCTCGTCCTGCTGTCTGTACTGTCTCTGTTTATTCACAGTATTCAGAGACAATGTATACTGTGTTATTTTCAAGTTTCCATGTGTGTTTGCCACTTTCCGTTGTGTTTTTCCTTGCTAAAGCTCCATCTCATGTAACCCATAACCCTGTTATCCTGTGTTGCTCATTCACATGTGTGTAAATAAAGACGTTACAGTTAATTGTTCACAACAACTTTTACTGATATATGCATTCTTGTAGAAACATTTTAATTCTCACAGGTAGAGATTTTTTATTGTTATTTATTTGTTTGTATAGTGTTTTTCACAATACACTGTTCCAAAGCAACTTTACAGAAAGTGATGATATTATTTTAATATCTTCATATATATATATATATATATATACAGTATATATTAGTGCTGTCAATCGATTAAAAAAATAACTAATTAATCGCAAATTTTTCTTTTTCACATTCAACCTTCAAATTAAGGTAATTTAATTTGAAGATTGAATCTTCAATCTTCAAATTGAAGATTTAACCATTATATTTAACCATTGACTAGCCATTCAACATTACAGTATAATTGAGAGCTATCAATTTTAACATTTATTAGACTTTAAAAAATAACTTCTAATTTAAGTGAACTTAAAACAATCTTCAGATAAACCCATTATAATAAATGTCATATTTACCTGTGCTCTTCAGCAGAAATATACAGAAATTGAAATTTAAGTTATCAAACACTACAAGCGCGCTGAAACTGCACCTGTTACATAAAAGCAACGACACATCGTGATTGTGTTCATAATATATTTGTTTTAGTGGAGTTCTGGAGTAAAACACCCTCCCCAGATGAATCGATGAATTGCATAAGTTCATTAACTGACATTGAACACATAATAAATAACCAGTGCCTGGTTTTCCACATGCTCGTGTAATTCATCGCTTCTCATCCCACACAGACACACACTGCACAAGCTTTCACGCTTCTCAGACATGCTTTTGTCTTTCTCTCATTGAACACATAATAAATAACCAGTGCCTGGTTTTCCACATGCTCATGTAATTCATCGCTTCTCATCCCACACAGACACACACTGCACAAGCTTTCACGCTTCTCAGACATGCTTTTGTCTTTCTCTCTCTCTCTCTGTGTGTGTGTGTGTGTCTGACCTCTTGCACAGCAGTTTGTATTAATTATTGAGCTCGACCCCCACGCCAAACCAACAGTTCCTCTATTTTTATGTATTTTTTTATTTGTATTCAGGTTTAAGTCCCTACCAGAATAGAAAAACAGGTACACACACACACACACACACACACACACTAGGTTATTTTGGCTGTTATTTCTTTAAGAGCTGCCGCTGCTGAACGTGAAGCGGATCTGACAAGCATCATATTTTCCACGTCAGGTCTTAAAGTCTCTGTTAATGAGCTGGCGAGTTAAATCGGGTGTGTTAGATGAGGGAGACAGTGCTGGGCTGCTCCAGGACAGTTTTGAAAACCATTTCAGAGACATGTTCTTAAATGTGACTCATATAAAATATATTAAATGCATGCACAGTTTTAAGGCAGCTTTAATCGCCTTTTTGGTAACTTCATGACTTAACTGACCACGACATTGCATGCACGTAGTTTATTACGCGCTTTGATATGAAAGGATACAGGCTACAGCGTGCGCCGGCGCCTTTGTGCGTGCGATTGAAGAGCACGTGCTGCGAGCACAGTACCGTTTCCGCACTCGCTTGACACGCGCCTGACGCTGAAATGAAGTGGAGCGCGCGTCTGAAACGTCTCCTGTTCTCGTCGTCATGGGCTCTTCCAGCTGATTGCATACGCAGGCGCAGATGCTCACACATGCCAATAACCGTGTGATCGGGTCGTTCATGCGACCTTTATTACGTAATGTCACACACCCTTCCCCGGCTGAATCGGCTGAATCGAGGCTAAAAGCTTTGTGCTGCTGGGATGAGCGTCAGCGGTCAGCAGCTGCAGAGGTCGTTCTGCAAGGTCACTGCTGGACAAGGACAGGTTTACAGCATATAAGATTTTCATATAAACAACAGGGTCCAAAAGTCTGAAAGCATGCAGAAAATCTGAGATTTAAAATCTAATTTAAACTCGGATATAAATAGAACATTTTAGGGTAAAACCAAAATTTATTTATTTATTTATTCAATTTTTATAATATATTTATATGTATATTAAATAATAGTATGTTGACATTGCTGTTTTGTCCTAAAATGTTAGATAAAATGATAATAAATTAAATTTTACATTTATGATGTTCTAAATATGAAAATATACAAAAAAAAAGTTACGCTATTTATCTCCAGGTTAAAAATAGATTTTTTTAACTATATATATATATATATATATATATATATATTTAGTTAAATAAGTTTATTTTATTGAAGATAAAAATGCTAAATAAATATATAAAATAAATAAAAATAATGATTTTTTTTAATGGTATAAATAGTATTAGTAATACAAAAGCATTAAATTAGTGGAAGCATTTTCAAATCTTTGGACTTCACTGTGTATTATATTCTACGTGAATCTAAAATGTATTTTATATGCGATGTCTGCAATTAAATATTGAGGTCCCCTTCAGATCAGTCATGTACGTATAATGTATAAAGCATAATCGAAGTAAGTGTTATGAAATGCATCTGGGACTTTAATCAGTTTAATTTACTCAAACTCAAACATGGCCCTGTTTCATCAGTGTGTTGCAGTGCAAATTTAGCACAAATGAATTCTGCAGCAAGTTTTTTGCGATCCCTGACACCATGTACACACGGCATCATGGCTGCTGTGTTGAAGCTAAAGGTCATGACCGAATGACCTCTAATCACTGGCCAATCAGCAGTCAGATCGAGGCACTTCAACAACGGTAAAATGAAAATCAAATCTGTTTGGAATGAAAATTGACTTTGCTTGAGTTGAGAATAGCAAATCATTTTATACATAATTACAAGTATTGCTATTAGTCTTACATAGCCAAACTCTTGACTCTTTATAAGTCTGGTCCAGTCTGCAGCTCATTCTGGCCAAGAACTGCCCACTTAGACGGGAAGAATGAGTCTGAATAGCATGTAAAGCATTCAGCCTGTTTATTTATTAATTTATTTACTTTTTTAATGTGATTTCTTTTTACATTTAGAGATGGTTCTATCTGAAATAAATGATACCTCATTTCAAATAAATGCTGTTCTTTTGAACTTTCTATTCATCTGTGAATCCTGAAAATTAAAATGTATCACGGTTTTCACAGAAATATTGTGGAGCACAACTGTTTTCAACATTGCTAATAATCAGAAATGTTTCTTGAGCAGCAGATCAGCAGGGAGCACAACTGTTTTCAACATTGATGTTAATAATCAGAATTGTTTCTTGAGCAACAAATCAGCATATTAGAATGATTTCTGAAGATCATGTTACACTGAAGACTGGAGTAATGATGCTGAAAATACAGCTTTGATCACAGAAATAAATTACAGATATTCACATAGAATTCACATTTTTTTATTGTGTTTTTGATCAAATAAACTGTTAGGTGCATCATGACGCGTCACTCACAGTGTTCACCTCAATGTATTTTTTTCTCCTCCTTTTTATTCATTTTTTTTCCTTTTCTTTTTGCACTTATGTCTGTGAGATCGGCCTAGATAGAGATGTATTTTGGACACATAACCTCCTCTTTCTCACTGACACTTATATATTTGTGTGTGTTTGTACATGTGCCAGCGTGTGTTTCCTTACCCGTGTCTCTGTGTGTGATATTGTAGAGCTGGGGACTTATGGCAAGCTAAAATATTATCACTCAATGACCGAGGAAGGTAAGACTCTTTCTGTCAACCCTCATGTTTCTCTCGTTCTGCTTCGTCTCTCTACCCAAGATGCCGTTTGTTCATACGTGTGTGAGAGAGAGAGTTTTCTTCTCCATTTTTAATTTCATGACCCTCTTGCCGAGATTTCACTCACATAAGTGCAAATCGTGGTTTTCATCCTTAATCGAGTGTCATTTTGAATTTTTTTGGTTGTTTCTCTTTCACCCTGTCCATTTTTTTTCTTCCGTTTTGGTTGTTCTTTGTAAGTTTGTTATTGATTTGTTCGAAAGGGATTTTTATATATATATATATATATATATATAGTGCATGATCAGAATATTTGAAGTTTATTTTAAATTGAACTGCTTAAATATTACTAAAATTATTCTTACGTTTACTTGATAAAAATCAATTTGACAGCAAAAAGACACGTGAAGCTCGAGCTGAAGCTGGACATTTGTACAATTACACTAAAACAGCTTTTACGTGATAAAAAAAAACTCGAAACTATCAAACAGACGACAGAAGGCATGGATTAGATTGTGCATGACCAGATTTTCAGTAAAGTTTTGATCATATGATATATTATATCAAATATTATACAATAGCTATATGGGGTTAAAATTAGAATTTTCTGGATTTGAATGTTAACACAACTAACCTTTAGCAGATTTGCAATCTTTCTTTTTGAGGAAAGTGGATCAAAATGTTGATGATTCATCCAATACTAAACATTTCTATCCAATCAGACGCTTTAAAGAATGAGAAAGTCTCTCCCCCAATGCCACCTGGCAAGGAAGTAGCAAGTCATGATTGATGACTTTTGTTAAATATCCTTCCCAAACACCCTGTTTCAATAAATACATCCATGCATGAAAGAAAACTGGCTGCTTTTAATAGTCTTTCAAATGCATTAGCTAGAACGGTGGGTGGAATGTACACAAATGCGGCAGAGTTTTCTGATAACAAAGCTGTGTTACTCGTCACTGTCTGTAACCGCTCAGCAATCTGTGAGAGTCAGATAAAACTGCTGGTTGCACAGAAATAGATGGTAAAAAACGTACATCACGGTGTTGAGACCGAGAGTAAGTCATTCCATAACTAGAGTTATGCAAGGGATAATGCAATAATAACAGCCCGTCTCTCTCTCTCATGTCTCACTAATGCAATAATGTCACTTCTTAGACATATGTTATGGCTGAATTGCTTAAGTCTCTTTGAGGAGGCAACAGTATCTCTCTCTGTGTGTGTGTGTGTGTGTGTGTGTGTGTATGTCCCTTTGTGTGTGTGTGTGTGTGTGCGTGTGTTACACAGTGACGGGCTTCTCATTTTAGTTCCCTCCTCCATACTAAACAGACTTTGATGTTGTAAGATTCAGCATGGGAAGGTACATGAGTAAATATTTTATTTGACTCTATTTAGAGAGAGACTGCTTGTATTCAGAGTAACCCAACGAAAACCTACACAATACCTGCCTATAGTAAACACCAGTGAAAAAGAAGTGCACTTAATTGTATTGAATGTGCACTTGCAGTATATATATATATATATATGTATGTAAGTATTATGTATATATAAAACTGTATTTGCAGATAATATAATATTAATGAAATTAAAGTGACTTGAGAGACACTTCCATGACTGTTTCCGAACACACTTAAGTACGCTTTTAAAAAGTGACCTTTGCAATAATGTAAAAAGTTTTACTTTAAAGTACATTTTAAATCATTGTTTTAATAATCTTTTGTTGTGCTTTAAATAAGTACACTTATTTTGATTTGTTGACTAACATACTAAATCATGTGTAAAGTACTTCATTATAATTTTAACTGTTGTGTGTTATTCGATATTACGTTTCAAGTTAATATATTTTAAATTAATTATGTTTTAGATTTTTCATCATTGTAAATGTTTAATGGCAAATATATTTAACTTTAAAGATTCAACAATATATTTAACTTTTGAAGTCAACAGATGTAATTATGAAATTATAAAGATGTTCTTAAGTCCTACTTAAGTGGGTCAAAAAAATCACTCTAAAGTTGCATTTAATATACATTTAAACTGTAATACATTTTTGTTTAATTGCATTTAATTCAAAACGTGTCTGAAGTCATTTCATTCAGTTTGCACTTAAGTATATTCTTTTAACTAAGTAAATTATTTATATAATAGATACTCTTTAAAAGTAGGACAATGTGTACTCCTTTTTGTGATAAACATTTTTTTTATTTGGCTAAAATAAAAATAAATAAAAGGAAAAATGGCAAAATATGGCAACTTGAACATGTAATTACAAAGATATTTAAATACATGACAAACAGGTTTCAATAGAAATGGCATTGAAGTATATTATTTTAGTTGATCATAAATGCTTGTAAGTGCATTCTGCAGTACTTTAACCATATTTCAAAGACAGTAGAAGTAATTATGAAATCACATAAAAATGTGTGTAAGTCCTACTTAAGTGGATCAAAAAACTCTATAAAGTTCAGCAAATTGCATTTAATATAGACTTAAACTGTAATACATTTTAATTTAATTGCAATTAACATGCAATTGTCTGAAAACATTACATTCATTTTGCATGCAAGTAAATTATTTTAAAGTATTTTTTTCCCCGTCATAAGTACCCTTTTATGTGTACTTCTTTTCACAAGGGAATATTTGCTATGATTTTGAGAAACCCAACTAACCTCCCCTATTTAGAGAAACTAAAGACTATCCTGACTACATATTCTTTTAACTTAAGTATATTCTTTTAAAGTAAATTATTTATATAATAGATACTCTTTAAAAGTAGGACAATGTGTACTCCTTTTTGTGATAAACATTTTTTTTATTTGGCTAAAATAAAAATAAATAAAAGGAAAAATGGCAAAATATGGCAACTTGAACATGTAATTACAAAGATATTTAAATACATGACAAACAGGTTTCAATAGAAATGGCATTGAAGTATATTATTTTAGTTGATCATAAATGCTTGTAAGTGCATTCTGCAGTACTTTAACCATATTTCAAAGACAGTAGAAGTAATTATGAAATCACATAAAAATGTGTGTAAGTCCTACTTAAGTGGATCAAAAAACTCTATAAAGTTCAGCAAATTGCATTTAATATAGACTTAAACTGTAATACATTTTAATTTAATTGCAATTAACATGCAATTGTCTGAAAACATTACATTCATTTTGCATGCAAGTAAATTATTTTAAAGTATTTTTTTCCCCGTCATAAGTACCCTTTTATGTGTACTTCTTTTCACAAGGGAATATTTGCTATGATTTTGAGAAACCCAACTAACCTCCCCTATTTAGAGAAACTAAAGACTATCCTGACTACAAATTAGTTTTATTACACCACATACCCGAACAACACACAAACCTACTTAGTTCAAACTCCAAAGCCACTTTATATCCCAAACCATTCCAGGCATGTCAATGATATGTAGGTCACATAACATACATGTGCATGTTGATTGGGGTCAAAGCACTGATCGAGCCAGACAGGACAGTCTGTCTATCAGCCAATCAGAGTCAATGATTCCTCAGGAAGGTCAAAGACATTCACTAATCATGATGTTTTCCATTAGTGAAGTAAAACCAACCCACCACACATTATGTTCATTGCTATAATGCAAGCTTTTGCACATGCCGTTTAATTCAAACACACACTGAACAAGACAGGAACACGCTAATGCTGTTTGTGTGTGATCGCCTGAAATTTTACTTCCACATTGATGGATCCTGAAAGGTTGTGCAACTGTATTGATGTTTGCTTCGTGGGTCTGGTGCTGCTCTCGTCATGCTGAGTTTTATAGACTTTGTCTCTAATCTCTTAAACCAGCGGCAAGCAGCTGTGGTTATTGTGCTCTTGGTTTGAAGGTTGCATTTAACCTTTTTTTAAGCACTAAGTTACAAGAGGCTGTGCTTAATAGTGAATATAGACACACAGTTTAAGGGAGTCACTGGTTATGACACGTGCTGGAGTGACTATATATATATCAAGAATGCAAGATTTCATTAAAAAATATTTGTATTTATTAAACAAATTCATTAAGTGTTATTACTTTAGTCCTGGCATGCAAACTAAGGTTAAACTAGCAATATACATCTAAACTAATTGGTATCTGTGGATGCTGCATAGTGATAGCCCTTGTGAAAAAGAAGTGCACTGTAGCAAAAATAGTATTTTTTATGTAATGAAAATATGCTTCAATACATAATATGAAATTACTTAAGTGTGAACTAAATGCAATGTTTTCAAAAGCTTAACTGCATGTTAATTGCAATTAAATGAAAATGTACTGTAGTTTAAATGTATATCAAATGCAATTTAGCTGAACTTTAGAGTAATTTTTGATGCACTTAAGTAGGACTTAAGTACGTCTTTATATGTAATTTCATAATTACTACTGTTGTCTTTGAAATATGATTAAATTACTGCCGAATGTACTGAGAAATATTTATATAAAGTGTAATTAAAATATACTTTAATGTAATTTCTAATAAACTTGTAATTTTTATTAAACTATTAAACTCATGCATTTAAATATATTTGAAATTGCACATTTGTAGTGAAGTTGTAATCTAGTACACTTAAAATACATTAACTTTAAAGATGATATCGATTTTAAAAAATTATAGTCAAGTGCTTTAAATGTGCTTTAGTATGTTAGTCAACACATCCAAATAAGTGTACATCTTTAAAGCACTAAACAATGTTTAATTTGACATTATTACGATGTGCTCTTTTTAAAAGTGTACTTAAGTGTGTTAAGAAACATTGTCAAGAAAGTGCATCTCTTTAAGTCACTTAAGTGGCCTTTTATTTATTTATTATGATATTGTCTGCAAGCATTTTTTTTTTTATACTTTTTCGATTTCCAGTACACTACAAGTAAAGTTAAGCACACTATTTGTGAAGAGTAGGTTAACAGGTGCTTCACTTTTTTTTGAATATTTCTTAAAAAAGACAGTTTTTTTCATATCTAGTAAGTACAATGAAACATGCTCACTTAGCTGGGAAAATTGGTTACTCCAAATCACTCACTTCCTTTCTGAATTTTTTTTTTTGTAGGAAAATTCCGCGAGAAGGCGTCCATCCTTCACAAAATTGCCAAAAAGAAATGCCAGGTGGAGGACTCAAATGGAGCTGCTGGTAAGTGGTGGTATAGAATTGTTATGCGAGGTAACTACACAAAGTAGCCTATGTACTGAATGTGTGTCTATCTCTGTTAAACTTACCATTGTGTGTTAAATCCAGCACTGTAGTGAACAAGAACCAGCTTTTTTCCAATCTGATAAAATACAAAAAGCTCCTTAAGGTTACAACCACTCATGCACTTTATAGAAACGAAAGGAAGTATCATAATCCCATAATATTGTTTGTGTGTTGAAGACACACATGGACTTTCATTTCAAGTGGGAAATTATGCTAACAGTTCCATATTAGCATATTAGCATCAAAAGCAGGGCGTTTGAGAGCAGCTTCTTTGATGTGGCCAAATAACATCTTTAACCCTTTCAAATCCATCTACTGCACTTTCACCATATTTTTGCCAATATTTCTTCACTAACAACCCTACCATGATAATACCATGTTTTTTAAGACATATACCTTGGCTAGAATGTGGTAATCTTTCAGAGACCAAATACAGTACTATGCAAAGGTACAGTATGTGAGTGTTTGAATGGTTTTTGAAAACATGGAAATATCTGGGAAGTTAAAATTGTAATTTCCAGGCCTGGTAAATTACCCTTCTTCTTTCTACAGATGTGGCGCTCATAGAGTGAGGCGCTGAAAAAAACAGTTGCTAAAGACTACAGTACACTAGACCAGCCTTAGAGTGATTTATGTGGGGACTTTTGGATATATGTGGTTAATTTGATTAATTTGGCCATTTAGTGAAGACAAACACACTTCACTTACTTCTTTTCTGTTTGTGTTATAGAAAAGAATCTGCCAAACAGCTCGAGTGTCGAGGTGGACGTGACTCCACCGATGAATGGCACCGCTGGACAGGACGGAGATACGGTGAGGCACTTAAATAAAACACAAGTGCACCAGGGTTATTATTGTTAACCAAAAAATATCATCCGGGTATTAATAGGACAGTGTGGCATTTGCCTACTCATTTTGTTCTGAGGAGTCGAGAAGCGTCTTAATCCACAGAGTTGTGGCATAAGGGACTTTACGTCTCCATTCCCTCCATCAGGGAACGAGGGTTACAATACGTAACCGAGATGTTCCCAGACGGACACTTCGACGTTGTGTCAAAGCTCCAACACTAGGGGTCCCTATACTGAATGCCACAGCTGCTGAACTGTGCTACGAGTCCATGGGGGCACAGATGTTGACAAGTCCAGTGTGCCACGACCAAATGCATCTCACCTCCTCGTAACCTTCCAACATCCAAGACTTATGACCTTACTCTCCAGAACAACAGGTCCGCGGGAATTCATCCGGCAGAACTGCTCCCACAAGATCTCCTTGCTCTCCTTCAATGCACATCATCGAGGCCTCGTACCCAGAAGTAGAAGGGCCAGGATGGGAAGCAGCTGAGGTGACTCGCAGTGTTTATAAAAAAGAATGCAAGCCACGAGCGCAACGTGCCGATGGCCATGTCCTCACAAGAAGAACATAAACCATCCACAAAAGCTGCTTCAGCATGGGCACGGCCCAAACATTGAGCACAGCAATCGTGTCTGTCAGAGGGTGAGATGCACAAACTGCAACCAGAAGGACACGGATGGAAAAGCATGTTGTAAACACACACAAATCCACCCATGAACCTCTTTTTGAGAAATTGTTCTTTTAAGAGGAAATTTGCTCCCAAAGATTGCTGTTGAAGCACCCAGGGGTATTCTCACAACACTTATCTGTGTACGGGAGAGGGAGAAACCGCTGCTTGTGCCATAGATCCAACAACAAGGATATTGAGATGTGATTACAGTGCTGCATCTCCCAAAGAGAAGCTGCATCAGTTTCGAAGAACAGAAGGAGGAGCAAATGCCATGCTGGCCTATTTATACCTGGATGTCCGGGCTGTGGCAAGCTAAGCAAATTTAGCTCACCAATTTCATTAGCCTTTTCTCAATGATGGTGATGGGGTGAGGTGTCTGGGCCCCTAGTGTCGGAACTTCGACACAACTTCAGGAAGAGACCGACTGAAAGGGAACTAAAATTAATAAACTTTAAATTACCCAAAAAAATAAAAAATAAAATAAAAATACCAACGTTTTACCAAAATTAAAATTACAACTAAAATAAAAACTAAAAAAATAAATAATAATAATAATATATACAGGTGCATCTCAATAAATTAGAATGTCGTGGAAATGTTCATTTATTTCAGTAATTCAACTCAAATTGTGAAACTCGTGTATTAAATAAATTCAATGCACACAGACTGACTAAAATAAGACCGATGTGCACTTACTACTGTACACTAAACTCATTATGCACAGCGATTTCAACACTAAAACAGGACAGAAAGTCCCGCTGACTTTGCAAACAGAAGTGAAGGCCAAGTCACGGTTGAACTGCAGAAACCTCACGCTTATGATGACTCAGTGGAAAACACGTTTGACCGTCCGTCTCCCTCCCGCTGGCCTGCGTCTCCTCATCTCTCTTTCACACACACACACACACACACACACACACACTGTCCTGTGTTCAGAAGATGAAGCGCTCTCATCCTCTGCCCCCTGTTGGCACGGCAACATGCCATCAGAACAGACGGCCCAGCATGCATGCGGATCTAGAGAGACCCTCTCAATGTCACACAACCTGCTCATGAGAGCCCATCACTCCTGAACTGTGCTCACATGTGCTGTAGATCAACACAACACTGCTTTTTCTTGCCATAAGCAGATGAAGTGGTTTTACATGTAGCCAGGTTAAAGGTAATCAGTGGTTAAGCATGTATTCACACAGTATAGTTTATTTATTTACACATTCATAGACTTTAGTTGGAGTAAACAAGAACACATTTTAA